CCAAATGCAGAGCAGATCCGGTCAGGTTTCTGCACACGCAGTGCAGTGGGTTGTGCCGCGTTTTTTACGTGTTTTTGATGCGTTCCAGGCCGGTCTTGGTAAAAAAAAAAAAATAATTTTTAAAGTTTAAAAAAAAAAAAAAAAACGATTGTGCGGAGCTAGCAATGACAGCTACTTCCGCCCAATAGTTTTCTATTGCTGCCGTCAAAAAACAAGAAAAAATAACTCTCCCGGGCGCTTTGGGAGTCTCCCAATCCCGGCCACCCAGGAGAGAAACACTGCTTTTTCTTTTTTTTTCTTTATTCTGACATGGAGCTGTGTCAGAATAGAACAAAAAAAAATGTTTGCCCATAGGAATGCATTGCTAGATTCCTATTGGCTATTTCAATTTCCAATAGCCAATAGTAAACTAGCATTGCACCCGCCCTCTGCTGCAGTTCTCCATCAGGTCCATAAGCAGAGGGCGGGTGCAATGCTAGTTTACTATTGGCTATTGCAAATTGAAATAGCCAATAGAAATCTAGCAATGCATTCCTATGGGCAAAAAAAAATTTTTGTTCTATTCTGACACAGCTCCGTGTCAGAATAAAGAAAAAAAAAAAAAGCAGTGTATCTCTCTACTTGGTGGCCGGGAGCGGGAGACTCCCGGAGCGCCCGGGAGAGTTTGCTGTCTGGAGATCAGTGTCCCTGGTTAGCTGGTACGGCTAGATCCTTCAGCTGCTTTGTGAATAGACCCCAAAGTTTTAGCTTATGACACACTGTAGCAAAAATGACTCAAAATGTGTGCATGCAAAAAAACACACTACATTATCCTTTTAAAGTAATTTAATCATTGCTTGGAAACAATATTGTAAATAATAATAGTAATAATAATGCTGATAAGTGTTTTTTTTCCCCATAATTCAGGGAATATGTAATTATAGTCCTTCTATGCAGTAGAGACTAGAGGGGATTTAGATCCCTGTACATCTCTGCACTAAAGACGGATCAGATAATCGGTTATTTGACAGAGATACAGCCCATAATCTTTTACCTGGCACAAGGAATAAATTTTTTAGGCATATGGCCTACTGGAATCCACACCAAGAATTTTTGTATGGATTTCTGGACCCCAGAATATGTTTGGATCACAGTTTTTGTTTTTTATATGAAGCTCTTTATTTATGGACAGAACCTCTAGAGGAAATAAAGACAGTTGCTGCCAAAAACCTCTAAATAATTGGCTTGGTTTTGTATGCTTTATGCAGCAATTTGTGATACTAGCAAAAAAAAATAAAAAATATTAACCAATTTAATGGGACCACAGAAAATTCAACTCATAAAAGTAATGATTTTTAGGAATGTAGGAAAAAATAAGAAATAAATCATCCAATAAAAGTAAATCATTTATATATGTGAAATTCTAATAAACATTAGTATAGGAATAGGTTATTTAAAGCGTGCATACAGGCAATTTTTTTTCATTGTTTTGGATAGAGAGAAAGGTTAAAACACATCAGTTTATTGTTCACTGTGTGTGTGTCCCCTTCACTTCCTGTCCCAGAGACGCAAAAGGAAGTAAGAGGAAATCTCTACAAAGTAAGGGGAATGCCCCTTTTGGACAACTTTTTACTAAAAAGCAATTTTCCCCAAACTAAAGGTCAACCTTATGCTACATCATTAAGTTTGTGTCCCATGCCATGAATCACTCTCCTTGAGTGATTATAGCTAAGCCATGAAGGTGAATGCAGAACGAATGTCACTGCGGAGCTTCTTTGCTAAGGCTGGGCACACACCTTACAACCATCGCAAGACTTTTGTCTTGCGATGGTTGTAAGGTACTTAAAAAAACTTATCTCGCATAGGCAGATCGTACTTGCGATGATCGCAAGCCACGCCCCTGAGGGGCGGGCTTCCGATGACCGCAATGCCGAACGGGTAGTGTGCGCTTGCGCACACCGGCCCGTACGGCTGTTATCGTACGGACATACCACAAACCCGCCGAACGTCGTACGATGCTCGGCGGGTTTTCAAACATGTCCGTAAGTTCAAAGTCGTGCGACCTTACAGTAGTAGAGGTCGCACGGCTTCCCGCGATTATCGTACGATTATCGTAAGGTGTGTGGGGACCTCATGACACGCTGCACAATCTCAATTGCCAAGCAACTGGGCTACAACTTGATCTTAAATTAGCAAATTAAGCTGACCGTACACCTGAAAATTTTTCTTGTACACTCTCTATCACTCAGTTCCCCCATCCACGCTAAAGAGCCTGTATGGAGGAATTGACATTGCTGGCTATTCTATTCCAGTTGTCATAATAGTCCAACAGTAACTGTAGCTGGTTGGCTGCAGTCACTGACTGGCTGACAGTTTTCCACCCAACTCCTTCAACAAAAGTCAATTGGAAAATTTACTTTTGTTCAGCTGGGTTTTGTCGGCAGGGCCACACATGGGTCAACTTTTAGCCGATTTAACAGAAAGTGGACAAAACCCGATCCGTGTATGGCCAACGTAAGTTTTTAATTGGTACATTGTTTTTTATCTTCTGCACCTAGGTGTCTGTTATCTTAGCCCCTATAGGTTAGCAGTTCTACCTTGCAGCACTGGGGGTCCTCGCTTCGTATCCCAGTCGGCACACTATCTGCAAGGAGTTAGCATTTTCTCCCTATGCTTGCTCCAAAGACATGCTGGAAGGTCAATTGGTTTTTGTCTAAATTGGCCCTGTATGTATGTATGCGAGATAGGGACCTTAGATTGTAAGCTGATGTGAATGTGCGGGGGCTGATGTGAATGTGCAATATGTAAAAGTGCTGCGTAAATGTTTATTAAAAAATAAATAATAGATGCCTATAAACACATTTTCTAAATAATTCTAAATCAGAATCTTTAGTGATCACATCAAAAAATATGATTTCCTTAAGTGAAAAATTGCTTATAGATAAAAAAAAAATCACTGACAAGAATTACTAATACTAATGCATATTTTTATACTGTACAGTGGTTCATAACTCATTGTAGCTCATGCTGAGCTGATTTTCCCTGTACTCAAGTTAATACTTGGCACGTGAAGGCTGTTTAGTGAAGCTTCCATTCATGCCCTGGCTTAAAATAGATGAACATTTATCTGCTGAAAGCACAATATGGCCGGATCCATTGTGCAGCATGTAAGCCAGACTACATGTGGACTCAAGCTGAGGCGTTCATTCAGACAAATGAAAAGGACCCTCAAGGGCTAGAAACAGAAGAATCTGAATTACATTATTAGTCCCAGTGTATGTTAACATGAGCTATGTGGCAGCCTTTGCAATTGTGCTTTGACTTCAGGAGGTGATACAACATGGAAGTCCTCTAACTATTCCCCAGGAGCGTCCATCTTGCTTTTCTCAGGCCTTGTTAATTAATCAGTTACTTTGCATATTTTTTTTCCTGTCAAGTTACTGATTGTAATCTATAGCAGATGCAGCACAGGTTAGACACAGTCCAGAGACAGCTCTTTGACAAGAGACATTAGCAGTGTGGTTGTAATGTCAAGACCACGCATAGTATTTACTGAAAGGATAACATTATATGGATTCTGGCACTAGAATGTAAAGCACATTAGGTGAAGCATCAGCAGATAAAATTAGAGTTAATGTTACATGGAAGTGCTTGCGTCCATTATCTATGTTCTGCCTTTAAAGTGTAAACTATATAGTAACATGCAAAAACATAAATAAATCTTGGGTAGACTAGGGCAATCAT